CCCCAAAACCCCAAAACCCCAAAACCCCAAAATAAATCTTAATTATAGAAATGTCTCAAAATAGCGTGAAAACCTCAATATCAATCCAGCACCAGAGAGAAACAGAAGCCTTAAGAAAGAAGCTTGAAAGAGTAAGCTTAGGGTTATTTTTTAGAATAGAAGAGACCAGATTGAGAACAGGCTTAAGGAAATTACTAAGAGGAATTCTTTGATATAAAATTAAAATCTGAACAACTTCGAAGCCTGAATAAAGAGAAGAAGTTGCATAGCATTAGGAAGAACTTCAAGAGGAAATTAACTCAGAATATGAAGGATTATGAGCAAATAAAGCGTGATCAGAAAGTGAAGAAACTTCAAGAATTGCTAGAGACTCACATTTGAGATATCCATCAGCTCCGTACAACAGTTTCTTATTTTATAGAAGCAATGGTCGAGGAGAGGAAAGAAGAAGAAAGAATTCGTAAGATGAAGGCTGAAGAGGAAATACGCGAAAAAGCCAAGAAGAAAAATATGCTACTCGCACACCAACAGCCCCTTAAAAGTACGGGAACCTCCACAGACCTTATTTTCAACCAACGATCCAAGCATTTCAGAAGGTATCATAATGAATTGTTAAGGTCTTAGGTTTACAGTTGACAATCACAATTTTCCAGAATATGGAGGTAAAACATCTACAATTTCAATAGAAGATGTCAGACAAATGACAATTGAAAAGCAAAAAGAAGAGCTTAACTATTTTTACGGCTCCAGAACCTTCCAATTAATGAAGAATTTATCTGAAAACCAAATAAAGAAATATTATGGAGCAGGAAACATTGCTTATGATGGCAGTTATGAGTTTAAATGGCTCAGGGAATACAAAAGATGTAATTTACGTATAAATTTTAGTCATAAAAAGTCACCTGAAAGATGATCAGAGTACATCACAAAGCTCCAAGGATTTCGACGTCACTCAGAACTACGAGCAACAGAAAGAAGCGGAGTGGATAATCAGGCAAAAATACAAGTTAATGCGTGCTCTTAAATAAAGTATACACCCGACCTAATTGTTACATAGAAATGGGAGCAAAGTCAACAAGCAGAAATGTTAAAATAATGATCAGCCTACTAAACAGTTAATCAAGAAGCCAAATTTGTATAAGCGTATGGAATCAACGACAATTTCATTTGAGAAAATACCATTGCTTGACAAGAAAGGAAAATCCAAGAAGGAAGTAAACGTAGAAGCTCTCCATACGATATACAGCATAAAATCTGATGGAAACATACAAGAGAAAGGTCAATCTCGCTCAGTTTCAACAAATACTGGACCGGATATTGTCCATATGCTGGATAATCTGAAATCTCAAGTTTTCCCTGATTCTAAAATCAAACGAACCCAAAAGTCTATGGATTTGCCAAAATCAAAGAATAATCCTGATCTAGCCCTCAAAAATTCAAATATAGATGATAAATTAGATATGAAAGCCAGAAGAAAACGCAACATAGAGAGGTATTTCCACCCTCAACCTTTAGAAGGAGCCATTTGACTATAAAAGATACAATCCTAAAGAACACCTCTAGCCACTCAATCTACAAAAACCAAGCCTCCAACACCTAAAAAGAGGCGTAACTTTTCCCTATCCTCCAATAACCCCACTACCAAAAACAAAGACCTAAAATCAATCGTCAATACACACACAACCAACAAGTCAGCCCAAGATCTGCCAAAACTTTCTAAAGGTAATCTCCCATTTTCTTCCTGAAATTCTGCTTCTGAAATCAGGTCTTCTTCGGGTAAATTTTTAAGCTGGGTACTAAACTTTGGGTAGAAATTGGGCAGCCGAAATTCCCTGAAATCAACACAAAAGACAACTTCAACCCCTACATAAACTACAACCCCACTCGCCCCTCCCCCGATCCCATCCTTGCTAACAAGAGCGTGAGCTTGCTCTCCCTCAGCCAGATCTCCTCTCCAGATTCCCTCGAATCCACTTCCAAAAAGTACGCCAACTCCTTAAACCCCCTTCCCACTCCCTTATCCACCCACCCTCTATCCCACTGCCAAACCGTTCATTTCCAAATTTCAGCTTAAAATTTCCTGAATTTCCTCTAGAAGCCCACTTGGGGCTTGGCTGGGACGATATTTTAGCTGGGAAATTTCTGCTTGTATTTTTGGAGAAATGAGAATTTTTGTTCGTGAGCCTGAATTTGGGGTTTTTGAGTGTATGAATTATAGGAATCAAAGGACTTCATCGGATTCGGACAATGTGTTGAAGTATACGTTTAAAACTAAGGTTTTGGAGACGACTAATAGGAGTTTATTGATGAAGATTAGGTAAGTTTTAGTGGAATAGAGTTGATTAGAATGAATAAAAATTAGGGATTTTATATGATCGTAGTAAATCAGCGAAACAGAAAGATATAATAGTTAAAAATAAAAGATAGAACCTAATAATTTAAAATGAAACTTTTATCAACCTTATAAAACACTCTCTGTCCTTCTGATTCCCTCTTCATCCCTTAACCTACAGACAAAAACAATCAGTCTCAAAACAAATCCAACAACTCAACTCTGAACTAAGTAAACCCCTCTATTTACCCATAGGTCCTCGATTCCGCCTCTCAAAACTCGATCTCGAAGACATTGAAAACTCCAGAGTACTCCGGCCAGGAGAGTGGGGTGCCAAGCTCTCAGTCCAACTCATGAGGAATATTAAGAAGGAAGAACGGAGGAAGCTCTATTATAAGAATAGAGTGAGATACCTGAAGAGGAGTAATAGGAAGGAAAAGAATAAATCAGTCGGATTTTAATAAAAAAATTTAAAGGCTAAATTGGATTTTAATAGATTTTCAAGATTTTGAGTTTTGGAGGGGTTTTGGGGTTTTGGGGTTTTGGGG